CCCTTCCCCTCCCCTCATCACAGAGGTTCCACAAAATGACACTTGCCCCAAGCTGCCAGAGGTGGAGTTTGGTTGGCGCACAGCTTCTCATACTGCTGTTATCCGCGGCACAGTCGTAACCTACCAATGTGAGCCAGGCTACGACATTGTGGGCTCCGACATTCTCACCTGCCAGTGGGATCTGTCATGGAGCAACAGCCCACCTACCTGTCAGAAGAGTAAGTCTTTCTGATGCTAAAATAGGTGGTAAGAGTATTCCACATTAGGACTTATCTAAGCATGAAGAAGGAGGTGTGAAAGACAACGGGAGGTGGGTAAAAAAAGGGGGAGGAGTTTAGTGGGCATGAGAAGAGAAACACAACACAGAGGTGGGAGCAGTGGGAAGAGAACATTAGAGTGACTATACCTTTCTGTCACTTTGACTGGAATCTTACTTTTACATTTTTCAAGATTATGTTGTTATCTTAATTAGCATTACACCAACTAGCATTACAAATGCCTTTTTTGAATCTGCTTGGTTTTCACTTTTTGTGTTGGCCAGCTACATCGAGCCTGGTGTGTGTGTGTGTGTGTGTGAACTTTGATGCACTATTTTAGACTTTCTAATAGGAGAGCTTTTGGTTCATTGTTTGCAGTTCTAGAGCAGTGATGGTTAATCTTTTTGTTGTCACATGACATAAGTGTGCGCTTGCACCCACACCCATAATGCAATGCCTGTGTGATATCCCCCCATGTGCCTGTGTGATATCCCCCCATGTGCCTCATCCCCCTGTGCATGCGTGCGCTCATCCCCCTGTGCATGCGTGTGCTCCTCCCTGCTCCCCATTTTGGACCTAGTAGGCCTCCCTGCAGCCTCCTGGGACCAAAAACTGGGCTGTGGCGGGGGAGCGCCTAGTAGGTCTTCCTGCAGGCTCCCTGCCACAACTCCCTGCACTCCCCCACCCTCCGTGCATGCATGCATGCACACACCACCCCCATGTCTCCCGCATGTGCCCCTCCCACCCATGTGTGGCAGAGACATGAAAATCAGCTGGCCGGCAGGAGGCACGCGCAATATGTGGTGGAGCTGAGCTGGGGCAACAGCTCACGTGCCCGCAGAGAGAGCTGTGCGTGCCACCTGTGGCATGCATGCATAAGTTTGCCATCACGTTTCTAGAATCTTTGTGTCACTTTAGAAGGAAAGTTGAAACATTCCCGGAGTAGCATTACACTCTAAAATATCCACATAGTCAGATATGATTCCTGAATTGGGAATCAGAGGGAAATACAGAGGCCCCTTTTCATACTTTACTGTACCTTCTCTTTCCCCAAGTTATAAATTGTGCTGATCCTGGAGAGATTAGCAACGGCAAGAGGAGCATCACAGACCGACATTTCTCCATTGGCTCTCACGTCCAGTACTTCTGTCATGAAGGCTACGTAGTGGAAGGGAGCACCACACTCACCTGCTACAACCGGGATACGGGCACCCCTAAATGGAGCGACCGAGTGCCCAAGTGTGTCTGTAAGTAAAAGCGGGGGAAGGAAAAAGCAAATGGAAGGGAGGAAGCTAGAACTGGGAAGTTATTTAAAGCAGCAAAGTACAGGCCTGTAC